TTGTTCTAATAAAAAGATTCCCAGTGTTTCTTCAGTCTCCTCACTGGTAAGTGAAGTTGGGACTGAGTTAGAATCTCAAACTGCAGCTTCAGAGCAGTTGGGACCACCTGAGAAACATTTAATTCCACAGTGAGCTATTATAATCTGGAATGCAGTGCCTGGAGGTTTGGTACAGTAACAGGCACTTTCAAAAGGAAATTGGGCAAGTGTTTGAAAGAAAGCACTTACAGGCCATGGGGAAAACAGCAGTAGAGTGGTTGGAGTTTGAAACTCAAACAAGTCACTTTGCTGCAGACAGGTCACCATGACAGCAGTGATAAAGCATTCTGTTCCACTTTGGAATTCCTTTGACTCATTGGAAACTAGGATAAAATCTTATGGTCATTGGAAGGTGAGGATATGGAGTCATGAAGAAAAGGTGAGTGGTTAATATCTGGAATGTGCTGTCTGAGAGGGTGGTGGAGGCAGATTCAATCGAGATGTTGAAGAGGAAATTGGCTTGCTGTCTGAGAAGGAAGAAGCTGGGGGAATATCACTCGATGAATGCCTCAGTCAGGCAGTTAGCCATTTGTTACAGGAAGAAGCTGAGAGATTAGGACTTGGTGAATTGATGACTCAGGTACCAGCACCATTCCCCTCACCTATTAATAAACTCATCAATGCAGGTGGTCACTACCTCTTTTCCCCATCCCATCCTCTGGATCTTATTGCTGGATCTAGTGGGGATATTGTAAAATGGAGTTTGGTGATTGTTCAGCACTTCCCTATAGCTGCCATAGTGCAATTTCTGTTTTGCAGCCACTGAGCTGAATGGCCTGAATTGATTAGAGTCACGGAGACCTTCAGCATGGAGACAGGCGTTTTGGCCCAAACTGGTCTGTGCCGACCAAAATGTCCAAACATGCTAACCCAATTTCTCTGCACTTGGCCCATATCCTTCTTAAACTTTCCTATCCATGTATTTGTAGCTTGGCTTGTTTGGGCCCACCACCTTATGGAAAGTTCCTCAGTGAGCTAGTGTGAAAATATTGCTCACCTCAGTTGAGGTTTATCTCTCTCTCTCTTCTGTGTTGTCTCTGTTAGTCAGGCTTGTCCTCACAGTCATCCTCCCTCCAGTCCGATTGCTAGGCTTCACTTCAGAGCCCTTTACCTGCTGCTCTCTGCTGTTGTTGATGTTGCCCTCAGACATCTTGCTGCTAGCCACCATTTCCCTGGGTGTAGTCACCGCCTGCCTCAAGGTCTGAATATCATTATCAGCTTGTGAGAGCTTTGGACAGACTGGCCAGGAAACAATACTATGAAAAACTAGCACCATGGTTTATATTAAACAATGTACGGCAGTATCTCATGGGCAGAATGGCTTCATCCTGTCTTGCAATGACTCCTTTTTTTAATTTAAATATGTTTATCTTTATTCTGGAATATAACTGACAATAAAACAGGGAATTCCTAGAAAGACCGTGCGAGAGCGGCACAGTAGCTCGGTGGTTAGCACTGCTGCCTTACAGCACCACAAACCTGGGTTGATTCCACCCTCAGGCAACCGTCTCTGTGGAGTTTTCACATTCACCCCATGTCTGTGTGGTTTTCTTCTTTTTTCTTCTTCATCTGCATGGGTTTCCTCTGGGTGCTCTGGTTTCCTCCCACCACCCAGTGATGTGCAGGTTCGGTGGACTGGCCAAGCAAAATTGCCAGTTGTGTCCAGGGAGTTGCACGAGAGGCATAGGCAGATTAGCAATGGAAATGCAGGGCTACAGGGAGTAGGGTAAGGGGTGGTCTGGGTGCGATGCTCGTCGGAGGGGTCGTTGCGGAATCGATGGGCCGAATGGCCTGCTTCCCAACTGTAGGGATTCCATGAAGTCTGTCTTTATCAGCAGGTAAATGCCAATCGTACACTTGTACCTGAGGTTAACAAGCTCATGTGAAGGCCTCCATCTGCTATTTTAAAGCAGACTTTATTTATTTTAAGAGTTAGCACCAGCCTTAAAGTGGTGGTTACTTTGTAACAGCTACATTCAGTTTCAGACTGGAAATTTATTTTTTTTTACTTTCAGTCAGGCCAAGATCACAGTTTCATACCAATCCCTGATTTGAAAGTACATTTTCAGTATTCATTCTTACTCTTCCTGACTCTAAACAAAACTAACCCAGTTTCTGTTCTGTGTCTAGGAACTAGAATGATTGAAAAGTGCAGCTGGGAAATTTTTCTTACACACCTCAGGATTAACCCACATAGGCACTTCGCTGTCGGAGAAGAGAGATGAAAAAGATCAAAGTGCTATTTGTCCCCTCAGTGTGACCCTGAAGGACTATGTCCAGGCTGAAGTTGTGTTCCTGCCAATGATTCATCCCCAGATTATCCTTTCTGAGCTCCAGCAGGTGATGTCAAACACTCAGATGGGAAAGAAAAATTGTGATTAACCATGTATGCAAAATATCAAGTTGCAGCTCAGTGGAATGTCCTACTTCTGCTCTGATGTCTTATGTCATTTATGCACCACCGTAGCCCAGGCCCTGTCGTGACATGGACTGCTTTCAGCACAGCCAATCCATTTTCACCTACTTATAGTCCCCATAATCAGCATTTCTTTCTCCCTGGCACACTATTATCCATCCTTTTTTCTGCCCAACTTTTTGTTCTCTTTGCCTATCCACTCTCATCTTTTCTCTTCTTCATTCCTTCTCCCCACCTCATGTTCAACTCTTCTACTACTTTTCATTGACCTCATCTCAACCTTTCACCTCTTTCTCTTCCCTATTCTTGCATGTATTTGTCTAAGTTCCTTTTGAAAGTAACTCCACTTGTTGTTCAATCACTTCCTGTAGTGGTGAGCTCCACATCCCAACAACGCTGAGGAAAGGTATTTCTACATATTTCCCTGTTGGACTTATGAGGAGCTACCTTGTGATCATGGC